AAGGGATTTACTATCGGGGAAAGGGAGGGAGGAAGAGAGTGAACATAAACTGTGCACCAATGGATGAGGATGAGGGGGCAGAGGGTGGGGTGGGAACCTGGTGGAGGGGGGAAGAAACGAGGAACCTGTGTAATAATATGAACAATAAAGATTGATTTTAAAAAAAAAAAAAAAAAAAAAAAAAAAAAAAAAAAAAAAAAAAAAAAAAGAATTACTTTAAATGTAAATGGCCTAAATGTTCCAATCAAAAGACTTAGGGTAGCTGAATGAATAAAAATCAAGAGCCATCTACTATGTTCTGCTTATGCAAGACTTACTTTAGATAAAAAGTCACACAGATTGAAACTGAAGGGATATAAAAAGTTATTATATGCAAATAGCAAAGAAAGCTGGGGTAGCAATACTTATATGCGACAAAACAGACTTTAAAAGAAGGACTATAAGCCGAAACCGGTTTGGCTCAGTGGACAGAGCGTCGGCTTGGGGACTGAATGGTCCCAGGTTCGATTCCGGTCAAGGGCATGTACCTTGGCTGTGGGCATATCCCCAGTGGGGGGTGTGCAAGAGGCAGCTGATTGATGACTCTCTCTCATGATGTTTCTAGCTCTCTCTCTCTCTCTCCCTCTCTGTACAAAATCAATAAAATATATTAAAAAATAAACAAACAAATAAATAAATAAAAGGACTATAAAAGACATAATAACTGGGTCAATGCAAGAAGATACAGCAATTGTAAATATCTATTCATCTAACATAGGAGCATCTAAATACACAAAGCAGTCCTAGCCAGTTTGGCTCAGTGGATAGAGCAATGGCCTCCAGATTGGAAAGGTCTCAGGTTCGATTCCAGTCAAGGGCACATGCCCAGGTGGTGGGCTCGATCCCCAGCAGTAGGTGTGCAGGAGGCAGCCAATCAATGATTCTCTCTCATCATTGATACCTCTCTCTCCCTCTCCCTTACTCTCTAAAATCAATGGAAAAAAATATATATATAATATTAATGGGCACAGAAGGAGAAATTAACAGCAATACAATATCAGTGGACTTGATACTCATCTAACATCATTGGGAAAATTAGAGATAGATTAATTTAATAATATTAAATGTCATATCAGATCAACTTAATAGACAATCCTAGAACATTTCATGCAAAATACACAGAGTACACATTTTTTTTCAAGTGCAAATGGAATATTCTCCAAGACTGATCACATATTAGGCCCACAAAAAAGTGTCAATTAATTCAATAATAGTGAAAATAGAGAATTTTTTTCTGACCACAAAAGATATGAAATTAGAAATCAACTACAAAAAGAAAACTAGAAAAAATACAAACACATGTAGACTAAACAACATGCTATTAACTATTAACAACCAATGGATTAAAGTGGAAATTTAAAAATATTTTGAGATAAATATAAAAATGAAAGCAAAACTTCCTAAAATTTATGGGATGCAGCAAAAGCAGTTATAATATGGAAAATTAATAGCTGTACAAACGTTATCTCAATAAAGAAAAATCCTAAATAAACAACTTAACTTTATACCAAAACTAGAAAAAGAATAAAACCCAAAATATGTAGAAGAAAGGAAATAATAATGATCACAGCAGAAATATAAAATTTAGAGACTAAAAATACACAATAGAAAAGATCAACTAAGTACTGGTTTTTCGAAAGGATAAATAAAATCCACAAATCTTTAGCCAGATTGATTTATCAAGAAAAATAGAGAGCCCAAATAAGTAAAATCAGAAATGCAAGAGAAGAGGTTACAATCAACATCACAAAAATACAAAAGGATCATTAAAGAATATATGAAAAATTATATGCCAATAAATTGGACAATCTAGAAGAAATGGATAAATTCTTAGAAACATATATCTTTTTAAGAATGAACCAAAAAGAAACAGACTCTGAATAGACTTAATACTAGTGATGATATTGAAACAGTAATTAAAAAACACCCCAAAAAACAAAAGTTCAGAAACAGACAGCTTCACAGTTGGATTTTACCAAACATTTAAAGAAGAATTAATACCTATCCTTGAAAAAATTGAAGAGAAAAGAACTCATTCTATAGTACATGGCCAGTATTATCTTAATACCAAAATCAGACAGGCACTACTAAAACAAAAAAATTGCAGGCCAATAGCACTGATGAACATAGGTGTAAAAATTGTCAACAAAATACTAGCAAATGAAATTCAACAATACAGTAAAAATATTACATACTATGACCAAGTGGTTACCAGAAATGCAAGTATGGCTCACTATCCACAAATTAACACGATACATTGAATTAACAAAACCAAGGATAAAAATATGATCATCTCAACAGATGCAGAAAAAGCATCTGACAATTTTTTTTTCATCTGACAAAATTTAACATCTACTTATGAAAAAAATTTCAGTAAGGTAAGTATAGAGCGAACTTAGCACAACATAATAAAAGCTACATATGACAAATTCATAGCTACCACTTACTCAGTGGTGAAAAGCTGGAAGCTTTTCCTCTAAAATCAGGAACAAGACAAGAATGCCTACTTTCACCACTACTATTCAATATAGTATTGGAAATCCTAGCTACAGCAATCAGACAAGAAAAAGAAATAGAAGGCATTCAAATTGTAAAGAAGTAAAACTGTTACTATATGCAGATGACATAATAACAAAAATCTGTCACATTTCTACAATATATACAAATAACAAATGATCAGGAGAAATTAAGAAAACAATCCTATTCACAACCGCATCAAAAATAGTAAAATACTCACTTAAGAAATTAAAGAGGACACAAATAAATGAAAGGATATACCATGCTAATGAATTGGGAGAACTAATACCATTAAAATGTCCATACTAGTCTACCCACTGTGGCTCACTGGTTGAGTGATTTCTTGTCAGGGAACATGCCCAGGTTGCAGGCTCAATCCCTACTAGGGAGTGTGCAGGAGGCAGCCAATCAATGATTCTCTCTTATCATTGATGTTTCTAGCTTTCTCTTTCTCTCCTTTCCTCTCTCTAATCAATAAAAAATATATTTTAACAAATTATAAATAGAAACATCACTAATAAAGCTGAATTTATGGAAAAACAAAACAAAAAACAAAGCTGGAGGTAACACATCCCCAGGTTTCAAACAACATTATAAGCTACAATAACCAAACAGTATGGTATTACCACAAAAACAGAAACAAAGATCAATGAAACAATAGAGAACCCAAAAATAAGTGTTGCTAAGAAAACTGGACAGATGCGTGCAAAAAAAATTAAATTGGACCACTCCCTCATACTATATACAAAAATAAACTCAAGTTGAACTAAACGTTTTTTGATTTCAGAGAGGAAAAGAGGGAGAGAGAAAAATATCGATGAGAGAGAATAATTGATTGGCTGTCTCCTACAAGCCCCCTAATGGGGTCAAGCTTATAACCCAGGCATGTGCCCTTGACCAGGATAGAATCTGGGACCCTTCAGTCTGCAAGCTGCCACTCTATCCACTGAGCCAAACTGGCTAGAACATAATTTATTTATTTTTATTTATTTATTTTTCTTTTAGAGAGAGAGAGAGAGGGAGAAAGATAGAAACATCAATTTATTGTTCCACTTACTTATGCAAACCCAACTAACCTTGGTATATTGGGACAAAGTTGTAACCAAATCAACTACCAGGACAGGGACAGGACTAAAGATTTAAATATAAGACCTGAAATCATAAAACTTCTAGAAGAAAAGATAGGCAGTGAATTTTGACATAAGTCATAGTAATATCATTTTAGCTATCTCCTCTCAAACTAAAAAGCTTCTGCTTTTTAGGATACTATCAATGAAATGAAAAGACAACCTATTAAATGGCAGAATATATTTGCGCAAATGATATATCCAATAAGGGTTTAATATCCAAAATATGAAGAACTCATACAACTCAAGATAAAAAATAAACATTCTGATCAAAAAATGGGAGAGAACATGAATAGGACATTTCTCCAAGGAAGACATACAAATGGCCAACCAACATGTAAAGATGTTCAAAATCACTAATCATTAGGGAAATGCAAAGTAAAACCATAATGAGATACCAAATCACACCAGTCAGAATGGCTTTTATCAAAAAAGTAAAAAAATAACAAGTGTTGGTGAGGACGTTGAGGTAAGGGAATCCTTGATGCACTGTTGGTGGGAGTGTAAACTTGTGCAACCCCTATGTGTAAAAAAGTATGGAGATTTTGCAAAAATCTAAAAACAGAAATACCCAGATCATCCAGAAATTCCACTTCTAAGTATTTATCTGAAAAAATTCAAAACACTAACTAAAAAAGGTAAATGCATCCTATGTTCACTGCAGCATTATTTACAATAGCCAAGATATGGAAGCAACCTAGGTGTCCATGGAAAGAATAAAAAAGATGTGATACATATATACAATGAAATATTCAGCAATAAAAAAGAATGAAATCTTGCCATTTGAGACAAAATGGATAATATAAGTTACTTTGCTAAGTGGAATTAATTCAAACAAAGTCAAATACCATATGATTTCACTTATCACAAAACAAAAACAGACTCATAGAAATAAAGATCAAACTGAGTATTGCCAGAGCTGAGGGAGGTGGGGATAGGTAAAAAAGGTGAAAAGGAGAATATAATCATCAATTTTATAACTTTGCATAATGATAGATGACTGCGAGACTTACTTTAGTGTGATGACATCATAAGGTATATAAATGTCAAATCACTATATTGTAGACCTGAAACTAATATATTGTATACCAACTATACTTAAATAAGTATAAATAAAATAAATAAATAAAATGTTAATGCACATAATCAAAAACTAAAAAGAAATTATATGTTGCTTATATGAGTATTGGGATTGTCAGTTATTATTTTTATCTTAAAAATAAATTTATTATAATATTTGTGCAACAAGTAAAACACACACACACACACACACACAAAAAAAAAAAAAACCCGACACAAGATAATTATTCCACTTACTACACGAAGGTCTTCAATACGTTTTTCAAGAAGGACAGGTAAACCCTCTGGGAGTATAGGTACCACCTTGGGCATAACCTGAGAGGCGTAGGTTGGCTGGGTGGTGTTTCCATTCTCTCCTCCTGACTCAGAGAGGGGGCTACCATCGGAAGTAGCATCCAATAATCTGTCAAAGTCAATATCATCTAATATCTTTAGGGCACTTTCAGCTTCCTGAAACAGTTCATGTTCATTTGTGCTAACAAAAATGGGGAGGTCCGGATCAGCATGGTTCATGTTTAAGTCTGAGACATCACTTCCCAATGTTACAGCAGCGGAGGGGGCTTTATTCAAAGGGGCGGTCATTAAGTTCCCTGGGACTTTAGGGTTAGACTCCTTCTCTAATGCATCCTTCTCTTTCTGAAATTGTCGTATCATGGCAGCTAGGGAAAGAGAATCTTTGTAACGTTTCTTCTTTTTTTCAGACTTGTGTGAATTCAGAGCTACAACTCTGTGAAGAAAAACAATAATCAGGGTATGTATGATTTTCAAGATTAAAGCCCAATGTAAATAAGCAGGCACAGATTATCATTTGACAGGCAGGAAAGTAAATCTATCTATAATAATTAAACCATATTATGCTAATTAGACCAGATGTCTTTCTGGATGTCCTTCAGGATGACCTTCTAGAGCACATGTGTCAAACACAAGCCCGCGGGCCAAATCCGTCCCGCCAGGCCTTGCAATGTGGCCCGCACCGCGCTGTCATCACTGCACTCCGCTGTGTTTCCATCACAATGACAGTTTATGACTGTTCAGTAAACCATTCGGCCCGCGATTTAGGCTGGATTTTAGATTTTGGCCCCTTCTCTGATTGAGTTCGACACCCCTATTCTAGAGTCTAGACGAAGCTGGGGCTGGAGGGAAGGCTCTAAGAGAGAGGTAAGGAACCTTTTTTCTGCCAAGGGCCATTTGGATATTTATAATATTATTCGTGGGTCAAATAAAATTATCAACTTAAAAATTAGCCTGCAATTACATAAAATAAAGTTTTCAACCCTTTTATACAAACCCCTAAAAAAAATTAACCTACTATATTTGGTCAAACATTTAATTAAGTCACCCAGGATGCCTTGGCAGGGCCAGAATAAATGATTTCGAGGGCCTTAAATGGCCCGCAGACCAGACGTTCCCCACCCCTGCTCTAAGATGACAACCCCCCTACTTACAAATAAATACGATATTATAAAAATGTAAGTTAATAGGGCATTGATATTCATAAATACTGTATTAAATTAGATCCAGCTGAGCTACATTATTTAATGCTAAATATATTTTCCTAAAAGGAGAACTAGTCACACTGTGAAAACAGTTCTCTTATGTTTAATTTCACATACCCCAGTTGTTTGGGTACTTTTTTCCTTGGCTTCTTATCCTTTTCCCCTTCCTCTTTCCGCTTCCGCTTCTTCATCTCAATACCATCTTCTTTTATTTTAGGAATCTGCAAAATGATAAAAGAATGCATCACTTATCTAAGTATCAATGCTCTTCTCTAATGCTAGTAATTCAGCACCAAAAGCAGTATTTTTTCTCAAATTTTAGTCTGCATTAATTTTTGAAAATGTAAATTTTGCCTGGCTGGCATGGCACAGGATTGAGCATCGACCTGTGAACCAGGAGGCCCTGGTTTGATTCCTGGTCAGGGCACATGCCCCAGTTTAAGGGGGTGTGCATGAGGCAACCCATCAATGAATCTCTCTCATCACTGATGTTTCCTATTTCTCTCTCTCCCTCTCCCTCTGCTCTGAAATCAATACAAACATATAAAAAAGAAAATGCAGGTTCTTGGGGTCCACGAGCACTCCCACCTCAGTTTAGATTCAGTTATTTGTGATAGGTCCTTATAATCGGTATTTTTAACAAACGTTTTGGTGATTCTGGTACATCTTTGCCACACTTCAAAGAACACTTATCTAAGAACACTCTCTCCATTTCCCAAATACAATATATATATATTCTATAGAATTTGCTTTAGAAATTATCTTAAAAAAAGTAATGGTTACTAATAATCATTTCTATACCAAGATTTAACATATATCCTGGAAATTTAACCGTATCCCAGAAACAGATTAGATAATATATGTAGAGAGAAATTTTTAAAATATAGTTCTGTGATGTAAATATCACTTCCCCATATTTATATAATTTTACTTTAAAGCATGTAGTTAACTATGGATTCATTAAAGAATGGTTAGCAATTTACTTTCCCTTCTAGTCACCGTGTAAAGAACATTAAAAGTTACAAAGCATATCTTATTAATTGAATGCTATCATTACTGTTGCAATTTCGAATAAACTCACTTTTGATAGTTTGTGCTTTTGGTCATCTGTAATATCTTCTTCTTCAGTATCTGAAGCTTGGCGAAACTGTAGAGTGCCAGTGTTGATATAAAATCCTCCATATTTTGTTGTTAGAGAAGCAGGAACTAATTCATCATACTAGATGAAGAAAAAAAGTTTCATATATATCCTATTATCTTTAATTATATAAATATTCCAAATAAATTCAATCACAAGATCAGCATCTTCCTTAAATCCCAACTGCAAAACTAACAGCAGTGAGTATGTTTCTGGAATAAATTTAGAAAAAGTATCTAGAATAAAAATGAGCTCTAATCATTCAGCATTTATTAGAAAGGCACTTCTGAAATAATGGAACAAATTCTAAATACATCATCTACTGAGAAAAATTAAAGGATCTCTGCTACTATTTTTAGTGACAATGAGTCTGATGAGAAATTCAAACAAGTTAAAACAGATGACGAAAAGTCCGGGCAGCTCTAGCTGGTTTGGTTCAGTGGATAGAGCGTCGCCTGCGGACCAAAGGGTCCCTGGTTTGATTCCAGTCAAGGGCACGTACTTCGGGTGCAGGGTTCTCCTTGGCCCAGGCCCTGGTCAGGTCTCTTGCAGGAGGCAACCGAACAATATGTTTCCCTCACATCGATATTTCTGTCTTTCCCTCTCTTTTTCACTCTCTCTAAAAATCAATGGGTAAATATCGAGTGAGAATTTTTAAAATAAATTAATTAATAATAAATGTTTAGACACATAATAAATTTCATTTCTTACTACATCAGTGTATACTTTTATTCATAAGATTATAAAAAATAATAAGGTTAACAAGGAAAACCACTATAAATGCATATAATGTTTAAGAAAAGAAAAAAAAGTAACAAAGTTATTTCTTTTGTCTTACCTCTAAGTATCTAAGTGGAGGAAAAATTTTAAACATTTAAAGGGAAAACAGTATGTACATGTTTTAAAGGGAAGCAGGAAAGGAACTGCCCGTTCAGTAAGCACACACTGGAGCCTAATGAGCTAGGCACTTTGCTTGGAGCAACAGACTCCAATTGCCTAAATGAGACTGAAGGTCTGACTTAGAATATCCTTAAAGCTGATGTCCTCTAAATCTAGATTTTAAAGCTTATCATATCTCACTTGATGATGGACAAAGTGCAACCATTAAATGGTCAATCTTAACCAAATGAAGGCATTTGTAGCGGGAGAGAAAAAAGAAACTACTTATCTATCAGAAACGAGATATCTGCTACTTGGAGTCTCCAGAACTCAATTTAAGGGTTCTTATTATATAACTAGTCTTTAAGGAAGTCAGATTTTTAAAGAAAGTTCTTTGCCATTGGCAAGAAATCTATACAACATACTAATTACTATAAGAATATTAAGGTTAAGTACAAAAGTTCTGATTTTAACATGTGTCCTTTTAAATTATATGAAAAATGGAAAAGAAAAAAAATCTGGTTTAATCATCTAGAATCAAAAAAAGAAATGAATTGAGAAGAGAAAAAGGAAAAAAATCCATGAAGTCCTTTCTTGCTGCTCCACTCCATGGGCCACATAAGATCTACAGGTAAGACTTTCAGAAGGGGTCCAGTAAGGAGTGATGGAAGGAATAAAGGATTAAAAGTGAAAAGAGTTTTATTTCATAATTACTTTGAAAATGTGTAATTTAGATAAGATAAATATACCTGTCCTTCAGCTTAGATATACTTGTACACTGCTTTAGAATGTACCTATCTTCTTCTTATACATGGTTTCATTTGGTCTTTCTGACACCCTTGTGAGGTAAGGAGGGCAAATATCTCTCCATTTGAAAACCAGATTCAGAGCAGTCAAGAACCTTGCCAGAGTAATTTTATTAGCTTTATTGGCAGTTACTGGCTGACCCCAAGCATCTTCTCACCTGGGAAACACCTTCATCACTAGGTGTTCGATTAGGTGGGTGTGCTTAACATCTCTTCTGTAGTATTCTGCTGAGCTTTCCCTACTAGAGCCCTCTTCAGGAGAGCAAATTCTCTATGCAAATGTCATTTATTCTTTCAGGTAGAATGTGTTACGATCCAATGGAGCACTGCATTTGAGAATCAGAAGGCCTGGATTCAAATCCTCTGCCAATGGTCAATCATTTGGTTAAGATTGACCATTTAATGGTTGCACTTTGTCCATCATCAAGTGAGATATGATAAGCTTTAAAATCTAGATTAGTTACTGTGACGCACAGCAAATCACTTAACATCAATATTTTGAAATTGTAATACAAGAGGAAACTTCTAGTGAAATTAAAAAGACAACCTCAATAAAAGTGTTACTCGTGTCTGGTATTATTATTTATTAATAATGAAAAATTATTTTCTTTCCGTCTTTTAAAAATTTGGAAGCATTTAAGTGTGAGATTAAAAATATCTTCAATGTCATTTATTTTTAAAAATATATTTTTTATTGATTTTTTACAGAAAGGAAGGGAGAGGGTTAGAGAGCTAGACACATCGATGAGAGAGGAACATCGACCAGCTGCCTCCTGCACACACCCCCTACTGGGAATATGCCCGCAACCAAGATACAGGCCCTTGATCAGAATCGAACCTGGGACCTTTCAGTCCGCAAGCCGATGCTCTATCCACTGAGCTAAACTGGTTAAGGCAATGTAATTTATTTTCATGTATTTATAGCAATAAGCACACGATGCTGAAAATTAATTACAACAGATTATTTTCACTCTCTATCAAATAATACAGGAACAATAAAAGCTTACTGCCAACATAATCAATGATAAGAATAGAGAATCATTTAATTGGATCACACTGCTTTATGTTTGAACTATCTTATATAAAGAACCAAATAATCTGTTAAAGACAATACATAATTATTTGTTTGTCATTAACCAACCTGAACTTGAGTTTGATTCCCTGTTATAAAACAGTGACGTACCTTATCATATAATGTAAGTAATTATATAACTTTTATACAATTTATACCTACAAAATTTATCCTTTTTTATTAAATCTGTAGCTTTCAAATTTTCTTTACCACAACCAGGTGAAAAATATATTACACATTAACATCAAAATTCAGTGCATATGAACATATACATGCACATAAACAAAATCACAGAGCCTATCAGTGGTTTACTATGACAGCATCTATTATTTTCTATCTCACTTTCTTTAAAAACACTGGTCACTCTAAATGGATACATAATCCAATTATGGACTGCAAAAGTCAGTTTGCAAAAAGACTTTATTTGAAAATTCTGAATACTATAGAAATATTGAAAATGCTATTTATGAAAGGCAAAAACTATGGATACAGTAAAAAGATTTGTGGCTGCCGGGGCATAGGGAGGCACAAATAGACAGGGCAGAGATTTCTTAGGGCAGTGAAACTATTCTGAATGGTACTATAGTGGTCATTATATTATATACACTTGTCAAAACCCACAGAATGTACACCACCAAGAGTGAACCCTAAAATAAACGATGGACTATGGGTGATGATGTGTCCATGTAGGTTCCTTGTAACTAATGTACCACTCTGGTGGGGAGTGCTGATAATGGGGGAGGCTGTATATGTGTATGGACAGGGAATACATGGAAATCTCTGTACCTTCTGCTCAATTTTACTGTGAACCTAAAATTTCTCTTAAATTTATTAATTAAAAAAATTTCTTTTTATATAAGCTGCAGTACATGAAATGTTCATTTACTTATGACTAAGATCCTTTTTGGGTTATTTTAAATTCAAAGTCTATTTTACATATAATATTGGCTTTAATGCTTTTTACATGCTTTACGCTTTTCGGCATGTTATTATCTTATTGGAGTCTCAGAGTAATTCTGCTTGACAAGCCAATCATAGCAAAGTGGATGATGCTGAAAGACCTGCTCTGGGTCTATGGCAAATTAAAAACTGAGTCAGGTCTAGAATCTAGGACTTTTGACTTGAGTTCCAAATCAAGATCAAGACTTTTGACAATATGCCATGGCCTAACCTGCTCATTGACAATCTCTATTCTAAAGGGCACAGTCAGTATTTTTCTTCTACAAGCCAGGATGCCTGGCAGGGTTAACCAGTTTATGTCAGAACACCGAAGTAACTTAGAAGTATGACAGGGCCTCCAGAATGTCTCATGCTGGAAGTCCATCCTATCACTCTCCTACCACATCATATGCCTTGTCATCATTTATGCAACCAAGCACTGTCATAACAGGAAAAATACATATTAATTGTGGGTGGTATAATAATCACTTCAGTGTCACTTTCTATATATCCTACATAGTCACTGCGCACTGAAAAGACTATAACAACAATATTTAGACTTACCTACCAAAAAATGACATACCCTCCTTCATTTGCTATGGAATCAATGGACAGTCACAGGCTTTAAATGCTCTCTTAAATCCCCTTCCTTTTATAAGAGAAAGAGGATTCCAGGGGAAAAGGCATAGGGCTTGATAAAAGGCTGGCATTAAATTACCGCCATTGTAGTAAGTCTTGGCAGCAATGAAAAAATCAAAATTAAGTAAATTTTAAAGATGTCTCCAGGTTAACTTTAACCCAGTAGCTCCAATTCTCAAGATCACACGATTCTCATATGGAAGTCATTTGAAAACACACCTGGCCCAAGTTTGGGACTACCAATAAAAATTCAAGATGTAAATACCCTTTGATCAATAAATTCCACTGCTAGAAATTTATCCTACACATGTATTTGCACTCTATAATTATCTTACACACATATTTACTCAAGTACACAAAGTGTACATAGACGCTCAATTATTTGTAGGTACATAATACTAGAAACAACTTAAATGTATATCAAAAGGGATGTTTGTAAAAACATTCATTGAACTATTTTACTTACTTTACCTTACCCTTGACTTCTACTATTCCCAACAAATAATTACTGTTATATTAAAGATGCATTACTCACAGCCTCTGAGTTATCAATAAATGGATCTGTCTCATCATAGCCAAAGCCTATATCAATTAAATCTTGTAGCCGATCCTTCCGGTGTTTACGGGGTTTCCCACCCTGCAAAGAAAAAATATGTCAGAATGATTCAGTACTCATGCTATTTCCATAAAGTTGAAAAATACATGTTGGAAGAATCCCAAATAACTTCTGTAGGCAATCTCCCCTCCAGGAGGTTGAATTTAAGTCCTCTGATGTTTTGAATGTAAGTTGTGCTTAGGGACTTGATCCCAAAGAGCAGAGTATGAAAAAGAGCAGCCAAAGTAACCTTACAGTAAATAACCCGGCCACCATTACCTCAGCCAGGTGATCAAGGTCAACATCAACAATGATAAGTCATGTTGATAGTATATACCTTTGACATCATGTGATAAAAATGGCACTTTAACTTTGTGCTCTTTCTCTCAAAGCCTATAATCCCAGTTATAGATTAACAATGAGAAAAGCATCATGATAACTAAACCATGAGAAAAACATCAAATAAACTAATTTGAGAAATATTCTATAAGCAACTGACTAGTATTCCTCAAAGATGTCAAGATTATAAAAAACAAGGAAAGCCCTATCTGGTTTGGCTCAATGGATAGAGCATTGGCCTGAAGAGTCCCAGGTTCAATTCCCAGTCAGGGCACATACCCGGGTTGCGGGTGATTCCCAGAATGGGGCATGCAGGAGGCAGCCGATCAATGATTCTCTCTCATCATTGATGTTTCTCTCTCTCTCTCCCTCTCCTTTCCTCTCTGAAATCAATAATAAAAAAAAAAAACCCACAAGGAAAATATGAAAAACTGTCACAGTCTAGCTGAGCCTCAAGAGACATAATGATTAAGTGTACTGCTGTACTCTGGAATGGTATCTGAAAAAACTAAAAAGAACATTAGTGGAGAACTAGTAAAATCTGAAAAAGTGTGCAATTTAATTAGTAGCAGTGTACCAATGTTGGTTTCTTAAGGTAACAAATGTGTTATATAGCTGTAAGATGTTCTAGGGAAGAGTGGGTGAGGACTATATAGGAATCCTTTGCATTAGCTTTGAAACTTTCCAATAAACCAAACTATTCTTATTTTTAAAACTGCCATAGAATTACATAGACATACAAGAAAATAAAAAACGAGTGCATGCAAAAACTGGTGAAATTTGAATAAGGTTTGTATTACAGTTAATTGTATTGTGCTAGTGTCAATTTCCTAGTTTTGATAACTCTACTTACATAAAAGATATTACTACTGGGAGAAACTGGGTAATGGGTATAAGTACCTCTCTGCACTATTATCTGCAGCTTCTTGTGAGTCTATTATAATCCTTTCCAAATAAAAAATTTAAAAATTTTTTTAAAAACAGCCCAGCTGGTGTTGCTCGGTGGTTGAGCATCAACCCATGAACCTACAACTATCATTCTATTTCCCTGCCTTAAAACTTTATTACTCACTAAAATTAAAACGGTTGGTAATACCAAGTGTTAACAAGAGTAAAAATTAAAACACTCCTACACAGCTGATGCAAAATGATACAGCCACTTTGAGTCTGTTTCAGTTTTGTTAGTTCCTTTATTCTGTCCTTTAGACTCCACATATAAGTGAAATCATATGGCATTTGTCTTCTTTTGTCTGACTTATTTCACTTAGCATAATACCCTCTAGGTCCATCCATAATAAGATTCCAATCTTTTTTTATAGTCAAGTAATACGTATTCAATTATATATATGTACCCAGAGCAGCCCTAATCATAGCATTCAAAAGCTGAAGACAACCCAATGCCCACCATCCAGTGAATGAATCTGGATTACTATGCAACCAAAGAGAAAGGAACTAATACATGCAACACACGGATGAATTTCAGAAGCATGATGCTAAGTGAAAGAAGCATAAAAACCTAAGATTCCATTTACAAGAAACTCTAGAAAAGGCAAAAAAATAAAATAAAATAAAATCCAAAAACCTAGTGACAGGAGGTAGATCAGAAGTTGCCAGAGGTCAGAATTGGAGGGAGAGGATTATCTGTAGAGGAATAAAAGGGAACTTTCTGGGGTGAAGAAATTTTTCAATATCATGATTGTGGCAGTAGGTAGAGTATGTCTGCATTTCCCAAAACTCAAATTGCACATTTAAAATTGATCATTTGTATTTATTTTAATTTTATTTCAATAATGTTTATTTTTAAAACCCCTTGTGATTATTTCTACTTAAACTCTCTCCCTCTACCAAGCTTTATTCATATGACTATTCACACCTATAGCTTTCTTTCCATTCTGCCATAGCTATAATGCTGGCTATTATTTTTCACTTAAATTTAATGAATGCCTTAATGAGAATATCATCTCTTATCCTCAATTTATCCTATATAACATCATTCAATTAATATTTCTAAAATAGCATTTCTTATCATTCCCCTGCTCAAAATGCTTTAGAGGCAATCTACCTATTTTAAGATAAATCTAAAATCTTTACTATGGCATTAATAAAATGTTTTCTACGTGTTGAATCAAAACTTTCCAACTTTTTAAAAAATTTTTTCCATCTTAAACATATCCATTCAATCTATCCACTCACCTCAAACACAATGCTTTTCTTTCCTCATTCTTTCCCGTTATTTGCAATAATCTCTTAATCCTCTTTAAATTCTCCCACCTTTACTGCTCAACCCAAGTTTTAAATCTTCTCCTTGGTGCTTTCAACTTAAAAAATCACAACGATCTTTTTTTGCTGTCTTAACATATTTTTTTTTCTTTTGTTTAGGCACTAGCTGCCTATGAGACTGACCTAGGGAAAACTAAAAAAATAACAACAATAAAAACCAAATAGCTTCTGTTGTAATAGGCAGAATCAGCCATATGCATAAGTATAAACATCTTCTGGATAGTTGGAAATTTAGGAACATTTAAGACTAGTCAAGGAAACCAGCAGTTACCACAGGAAACATTAGTTGTTTTTAATAGTTCTGAGACCATAATAATCTAATATATGCAGAAAATGGTTAAAATAGATGAGTCTAATCAATGAGGATAAACAAAATATCTAAAGCTTTACTTAATTATAATTGTATTAATCTCAAAAAGGATCACACAAACTTAAGATCTTTACTAAGTATTAGTAGTATATCAATTATAGTACCGTAATAATGATAGAGGTATCGATATAAACTGTACATACTATGACACATCCATTCAATGTTAATAATCATTTTAAAACATAGTTGCCCTGAGAAAAAATATATAGCTGGTTTGGCTCAGTGGACAGTGTGTCGGCCTGCGGACTGAAGGGTCCCGGACCTGGTTGCGGGCTCAACCCCCAGTAGGGGATGTGCAGGAGGTAGCCAATGATTCTTTCTCATCATTGATGCTTCTACCTCTCTCCTCCTGTCCCTTCCTATCTGAAATCAATAAAAATATACTTAAAAACAAACAAACAAAAAACATGGTTGCCCTGGCCAGTGCTGGTACATGGTTAGAGCATCAGCCCACACAGAAGGCTTGTAGGATTCCTTGTCAAGGGCGCTTACCTGGGTTGCAGAGGCAACAAATTGATGTGTTTCTCTCACATCAACATTTCTTTCTCCTTCCCCTCCCCTCTTCCTTTTCACTCTCTAAAAATCAATGGAAGATTAAAAATGGCGGGGGAGTAAATGGATGCTATACAGACACGCTCCCAGGAGCAAACTGCAATTACAACTCAAATAAAGACTTGCTGAATAATCAAATGAAGACTCATTTGAGAGAACCCTAACAACCGAGGACAAAGTGGAGACCACAACAGAGAATGGTAGGAGGAGCAGAGGTGTGAAAGGGCTGGCCAGGCTTCCACATACAGCAACCAAGTTTCCGGAGAGATATCTCAGCTCAGGGGGGGTTGCCACTGAGAGCTCTGGGGTCTAATCCCCCAAGCTGGGTCCCCCAGCAGAGAACAACAGAACCGAGAAGGGCTCCCTCATAACATCTGGCTGTGAAAAGCAATGGGGTGGCTGACTGCAGAGAGACGGCAGGAAATGCAGGCATCCTCTTAAAGGGCCAATGCACAAAATTCCGTGTGCAGCCACTCACCTTGTGCTCCAACAGAGGGAAGGCAGAGTGGACTGGAGTTGTGTGAGCAGAATCCAGGATCGGGACTCTGGGATAAGAACTCACAAGGCAGACACCCCAGTTTCCTGTGAGGAGGTCATCTTTCTCACAGACATTTGCTATACAGGGGGATCCAGAGACATGGAAGTATGGAACAGAGTGTGGAATCTCAGAGGGAAGGCAGGAGAGGGTGGGTGGGTGGGAGGTAATCAAAGACCTTGTATGCATATATGCATAAGTCATGAACACAGACAACAGGGTGGTGAAGGCCTAGGGTGACGGTTGGGGACCAGCTAGAGGGGGGCAAAGGGGAAAAAAGGAACATATGTAATACTTTCAACAATAAAGGTCTAAAATAATCCTATATAATAAAAGCTTAATATGCTAAGTGTCCGACCATTTGACCGGTCACTATGATGCACAATGACCACCAGGGGGCAGACACTTTGACTGGCAGGTTAGCTTGCTGCTGGGATCTGGCTAATTGGGACTGGGCAAGATGGGCTGGACATGCCCTGGAGCCCTGCTGCGGTCCCTCCCCGGCCCTGATTGTGCAACAGTAGGGTCCCTTGGCTTGGCCTGTGTCCTCTCCCAATCCAGGACCCTTTGGGGTATGTTGGAGAGCTAGTTTCAGCCCGATCCCTGTAGGTCAGGCTGAGGGACCACTGGTGCACAAATCTGTGCACTGGGCCTCTAGTATATATACAAAATGCTCAAAGAATCATAACAAGCAGATAACTGATTATTAGCAATGAAAAAGGATATAATTGGAGACAGTGGTAAAGTAAAACTTTGGCTTAATTTGTATTACTAAAATTTGTTTTTAATAACAGGAATATATTCATGTATTATTCAGGTTCCCGGCCTCCCTGTCTCCTCCTTCCCTCACTCCCTCAGCACCCCACCACTGCTGCTGGTTGCCACCATGTTCCATGCCGCCCCCTAGTGGTCAGTGCATGTCATAGTGAGTGATCAAATGGGACACTATTAGCCTTTTATATATAC